AGCTATGAACAGTCTTTCAGGGAAGGGTCTTCCTCCTCCACATCATCAGTGGATGTCCATCCACAGCAGCAAACCAGTATTTGTAGAAATTCTTCTATCCTGAGACGAAGAGCCTTACCAGGACAGAAACTTACCCAAACTCACTACTCGTTTTCTGCCACAGTCAGTCACTTGCAAAGCTCAGTTGTGCGCATCAGTTAAATGAACTCGGCAACAGATTCCACATTTAAAAGAAGTCAGTGTAAGACGTACTTTCTCGATTACTGACAGGCTGTAGTCACGCGGCATTTTCCTCGAACGACAACTTGTGGGGAATGAAATGGGGTGGTTACTAAGAGGCTCTCTCTTATTTGGGTTCCAACACTTTCATAGACGATTCAAGAAACAAAACAAAACAAAACAAGAAAACAAAACCAGGAGCCCACAACTGACAACCGTGATTCTGAAGAGCAAACAGGGGCCCCCGAATTCCCACCGGGGCCGTCCAGAGCCAGCCGGTGCCGTGCAGCTCCCCTGACCACCCCCCGCAGCCCTGCAGACCCAGGTGACAGTGAGTCACAAGCGGATGATGTTCCAGCTCCGGGTGCAGCTCTGCAGACCGGGAAGGTCTGAACAAAGCCCGTTTGCAGGGGCTCCCACCGGGCTCGGCCTGGACTGGGCGGCACCACCTCAGGGTCAAACCGGGCCGCCCTGGTGCAGCGTGGGGATCGGCCTCGGCGCGCGAGGCCAGCACCCCCTCCGCCAAGAGGTTCCGAGACACCGGAATGGGGGTCCCCCGCCGGAGGTTCGGGAGGGGCGTCAGACCCCGGAGCCGCCACGGTCCAGGTCGGGGAAGAGCGGGACGCCCCCGACGACAACCGGCGCCGCAGGTGGAGGCCCCCTACGAGGGGCGGGGAGCCCCGCCACCGTCCCCGCGGAGAGACGACCTGGGGGCCAGGCCCGCCGGGCGGAGGGAGGGAGGGAGGGACGGAGACACCGAGCGCCCTGCCGTCAGCTCACCTGCGCCCGCCGGCGGGGTCGAGAGGGGGGCGCGCGGCCAGCAGGCGGCTCAGGAGAAGCCCAGGAGCCGCCGCCGCCGCCGCCGCCGCCCCGACCCGGAGGCTCGGGAGCCGTCACTGGGCTCGTCTCGCTCAGTCCGCTCCGCGGCCGCGCGACGTGATGACGTTGCAGCGCAAAGACCGCCCCTCCCCGTGTCACGTGATCACCAGGCCCAGCCGGCCGCGCGATGTGATGACGCTACAGCGTGAGAGCCGCCCCGGGCTGCATCACGTGACCCCCAGGACCCCGCGCGGTGGCTGCGGACCCGTTGCGGGCGGAGCGGGCCGGGGTGGGCGGGGAGGTCGGCAGCGAGTCCCCCGGCGGTGCGCGCGGCCCCGCGGACGGAGGGCGCCGGGATCCCTGTGCCCCGGAGCTGATGGCGGGCATGTCTTCCCCGCGGGACCCTCGGGAGCCCGCTCCCGTCGGGAACAATCCACGGAGGCGCCCGGTTCGCCCAGGCCATTGCCCGCCGCCACCCGAGGTCACTGCGCGTTGGAGGCCTCGGTCCTCCTCGCCCTGCCCCCCGGGCTGAGCGGTCCGACCGTCTGGGGTTTGCTCCTGAGTGACTGGGTGCACCTGCCCGACCTGGTGGGTCTGCAGCGGGCCCGGACTCCTTAGAGATAAACCGCAGCCGAGTGGGTCGCCACCGGGTTTTACACGGCGTTTCCATCTCTCACATCCCCTCTCTGCTCTGAAGTCATCCCTGACCTGGAGGGTCGGAGAGCAGGGGGGTGCAGGTGCTGTTGGAACCGCCACGCCAGGTGGGAGAGGGGCCGGAAGCCCCTGACGACACATTTTGGAAAACGTCACCAAAATTATGCGTGCAGACTTGCTTTAACGGATTTATCCTTCGTCAGTGCTCTTGCACACGGACAACGATGTGTGTGCAGGACTGGGTCAGTCAAGTGCGATCTCCGTGCAATACCATGAGGTTGTGAACGCTGCGTATAGTTTGCTACTATTTGTGTAGAGGTTGGGAGAATATATTCCTATCTACTAGTATATGCATAAAGTGCACTTGGAAAGATACTAATAAAGCGGTCATTTTGGTTTCTTTTGAGGGAGGAACTGGTTGCTTGGGAGACGGGACGGGAGGGAGATTTCCCCCCTTTGTGACTTTTTGTGCTTTTTGAACTTTTCAGTGCGTTAAAAATATGTACAATTTTAAAAGTAAAAATAACCCTTGTTTTCTGAGTGTGAATGCTAAATAAAACATTTTTCCAATGTGAGAAGGAACTTAATAAAAGATCTTACTCACTGAATAGAATCAAAGCAGGGCCCCAGCTGCTGCTCTGAAATTCATCCCTGAATCTGCATCCAGGCCAGGTCCTGCGTCCTCAGCGTTAGTTCCTAGCCCACTGGGGACGGAAACACGAAAGCGGACCTTTCCTGGGGAAGATGGGCCTCTTCTGTCAGCAGACTTTGGATCAAGGACTTGTTCTGAAGGGTTTGGCTGCACCTTTCTTGGAATGCAAGGTAGTCCAGGCGCTTCCCACCGTCTCCCCTGTCCTTCGAGGGAGCCAGACTTGCAGGGAAGTCGAAAGGCTCCCCCAGCCTTCTCTGGTCTCCTAATAAAATCCTTGCATGTTTAATTTTGGCAAATGTTTCCCCAAGTGGACTAATAGCGCCTCCAACAATTTATTTGGATATTACCCCTTTGCCACGATTTAAAACTGAAAACGAATGCTCTATGGATAGAGATATTAGTCTTTTTACTGATAGGAAAAGGCTGGAGTCATATTCTTAGCTTTTATTCTTGGCCTTTCTTTCATCACAGCTCATCATTTCCTCATTCTCCCACAGCGCCTAGCACTCTATCTCACCAATGACTAGGGAGCTCTGTACTTCCTCATGTAGGAAATGGATGGGTTGGATCAGACAGACCAAGTGGTTGCAAACTCAGATGCCTCTAGAGCAGTGGTTCTCAACCTTCCTAATGCCGCGACCCTTTAATACAGTTCCTCATGTTGTGGTGACCCCCAACCATAAAATTATTTTCGTGGCTGCTTCATCACTGTAATGTTGCTACTGTTATGAATCGTCATGTAAATATCTGATATGCAGGATGTATTTTCATGGTTACAAATTGAACATAATTAAAGCATAGTGATTAATCACAAAAACAGTATGTAATTATATGTTTTCCGATGGTCTTAGGCGACCCCTGTGAAAGGGCCGTTCGACCCCCAAAGGGGTCTCAACCCACAGGTTGAGAACCGCTGCTCTAGAGCTAGGCAGGGACAATGGTGACCTGGTGAGCACACCCTCCACCTAGTACAGTTAGCACTGACTTCCCACTGCAGGCCGAAGCATGTTTATGAACCATTGTGGCTTCTGCTATCAGCTCAAGTCTTTTTAAAAACTTAAAAGTTTTTTATTAAATATACTTAATACATATATACAAGAAAAATAATCATGGTTTAAGGAACATCCAGGTACTTACCACCTAGTTAAAAAGAATATAAGCTACAGTAATGAAATGTCCTGTCCTCCTCCCTCCCTCCTGTTCTGAGGTAACCATTTTTTTTCTGAATTAAAATCCTTTTAAAATGCTTGTAATATTTGTGACCCTAAACTATCATTAGTTTTGCAAAATTCTGAACTTTACTGAAATGCAATCAGACATGTTCTGTACGTTGCTTCCCTCCCTCCCTCCTGTGTTGTTGCTTGTCACTAATTAATTTTCATATAGTCTTTCGTTATATGAATAAGCCAAAATTTATTATTCCAGTGAACAGTTTTGGATATTTGGCTTCATTTTAGTGCATTGCTAATACATCCGCAGCAATGTATCTTTTTAAAAAAATATTTTTATTGATTTTTAGGAAGAGGGTGGGGGAAGAGAAAGATTGATGTGAGATGTGAAGCTGAACTTCAATGGGCTGCTTCCTGCACGGTCCCCACCAGGGATGGAGCCCGCAACCCAGGCACGTGCCGACTGGGAATCGAAGCGGCAGACTTTCGGTGCACTAGATGATGCCCACTGAGCCACACCAGCCGAAGCTGTAATGAATCTTTCTGATACCTCTCAAGAGCAGTGGTTTTCAAACTGTGGGATATGCCCTGACTGGGGACCAAACCTGCAACCTTGGCCTATCAGGACGATGCTCTAACCAACAAAGCTACCTGGCCAGTGCCAGAACCAACATTTTTGAAATGAATTAATTTAGGATGAATTTTAGATACATCTCATATTGTAAGGTGGGTTTCACGCAGTGTTTGCATGTTGCAACACATATCCATATTCTCTACCCCTCGACAAAACCGGTCCTACCAACGTAGTTCCTGGTCTGCTCACATCCACACAAACGCAGTATTAGGGTTTTGAATGTGCGCCAATCTGGTGGTAGTGAAATGGCTATCGCTTTGGTTTTAATTTACATTTCCCTGATTACCACGAGGTTGAGAACGTTTCCTGTTTGTCAGCCTCGCTGGATTATTTTTTAAAAGGTAACTTATCCTCCCAATTGTATAAATTGAGCAAATGCATCTTTGTAACCCGAGAAAACTGCCTTCTAACTGCCGACCTCCGCTCGGAAATGACTGCTGCAGGCCACACACACAAACACAACTCCTCTCAGGCCGAGTACGATTCCGAAGGCAGAGAATGACCTCTGATGAGACAACCTTAAGAGAACTGAACCCGAGAGTCATGTACGGTAGACCTTCGACAGTCACAGGGATATACCCCAATACCTTTGGGAACCATTTAATCATTAAGTACTACTTCAGAATAATTTCTCTAGTAAAAGTCTGTGCAATAAGTAGAGAAAAGTAAGGCGGTACATAGGAGCTGATGCTCGGAAATCAATTGGGCTTATTCAATGGCTCGCACATGCCAGCCTGTCAATCCTGATTCAAATTTGTGCTTCTGGAGAATCCGAGATTACTTTTCTGGTTTTAATACTTTGGAGTTATGTGCAAATAGTTGAGACCACACATGTTAAATATTTGAATGCTAATTGTCCTCTGCACTTCCTTTTATTATCATCATAGCCTTTGCATCAGGATACACAGCAATGATAGCAAATTTCTTTTTAAAGCTTAGTATTAAATATTAAATATCTCTCCCCATTTTAATTTTACATTACTCTGCCAAGAAAAAAACTAAAACTCAAGTTATCTGAAGCCTGGACACACTTCCATGATTAGCTGCTGCCTCAAAGTTGGTGCCTTCTTCCTGCTGTCGTCAGATCCAGGCCCGAGACGGGACCGGCTACGATCGTTTCTGAAAAGTGTGCTACAAAATGGATGGCCTGTTCCAAGCCAGGTTACAAAGTAAGGACGGGGGTAAGGGAGGGACATTTTCTTCCAGAAATAGAATTTCTGAAGAGTCCCAGTCCATCATTTTTTCCCAAAATGGTTGGAGGAGGGATAAAATCTCAACATGAGCTTCAGAACGCTCTGTGCCAAGGGGACAGAGCTGCCTCGCTGAGGAGGGGCGTGGCCAGTGGTCACCCCTCCTCGGCGAGGGACATGGAAAGCTTATCCCCCGCCCTGAGGCGGGAAGGTGGGCTGAAGCCGGCTGGCACTGAATTCTCTAAGAGGTTTCTTCTAGAAACAGACAACTCAGACGCTTCCTTTCACTTCAGCAAGGAAGTTATTTTTGAAAGCACTTGGGAAGTTCCCCTCCAGCCTCGAGTGGGAGGCTCAGAGAAGAGAGTCATCGGTACAGCCGCCTTCCAAGCCGTAGCGGAATTCCTGAAGGTTGGAGACCCCATAGAAGTGGACGAAGGCTGCTGCCACCACCAGGACATGAAAAATCTGATGCGACTGGAACTGTGGGAACAAGAGGTGACCCTTAGAGTAATGGCAAGGAGGGATCAGACATGAGAAGAGAGCTCTTACCTCATCTAACTTCTCTCAAAGTTTTATGTCATGAAAATTATATTATTTGCTATAAATTTTTTAATGTTTTTATTGATTTTATAGAGAGGAAGGGAGAGGGAGAGAAGATCGATTAATTGCCTCTGGCATGGACCCTGACTGGCATATTGTATCCACAACCAGGGCATGTGCCTGACTGGGAACTGAACCAACCTTTGGTGCACAGGACGGACGCTCAAGGCACTGAGCCACACCGGCCAGGGCGTCAGAGCTCAGCCAGCATGGCTCAGTGGTTGAGCCTCCACCTATGGACCAGGAGGTCACGGTTTGATTCCCAGTTGCGGGCTTGATCCCCAGTGTGGGGCAGGCAGGAGGCAGCCAATCAGTGATTCTCTCATCATGATGTTTCTATATTGCTCTCCGTCTCCCTTCCTCTCTGAAATCAATAAAAATAGGTTAAAAAATAAATAAAAGTGTCAGAAATACACCAAAATGTTCATATTGATCACTCCCTCCCCCTGCCCACTTCCCCTGTACATGTATGTACCCCAAACACTACATGACCCCATGTCTGTACTGCCTTTTACTCAGACCTTTCACCTGGGGCCAGTCCCTGACCACAGGCACTGCTGGTAGAGCCGTTTCTTACCCATATGTCAAACTTTCCAGGAAAGAAGCGCTCAGGAATTCGAGCTGCATAGAGGCCAGCCCCGGTGATGTACATCACAGCCATGAGGAAGAACCAGCCCATCTGGCCCACGGTGGTGGCCTTGACGAAGCCCTCGGCGATGGTAAAGTGCATGGTGGGCACGACGCCGCTCAGACCCAGGCCCAGGAACACCCCTGCACAGAGCAGACCAGACGGTCAGGAAGGGGACAGCCGCCACACGGTGCACACTGCAGTTCCCTCTGGAATTCGATGTCTGTGAAAATCAGCTACTTTTCAGGAAGTTTGGCCACAAAATGGAGAATAGTTAGCAGATATTTCTTCAACATCCGGAATGGGAAGAAGGCTGTGGAAGTGCTTATATAGATATTACCCTCTAAACAGCACCAAGAACAAACCTCTCACATTCTTCACTATTCGTTAGGCAAAAGTGACCAAACCCTCTGGTGGCATCAGATCCACGAGCAGGTGAGGAGCAGGAACAAGAGTTAAACGAGCCATTCTTCACCTGCTCGCAGTTCTGGTGCCATCGAACTCAGGTGCAAGCTTCAGGTGCCTCTGAGGTGGGGAGGGGGAGACAGCTCCCCAGGAAGATCGTACACCATGAAGTACCCAGGCTCTGAGGTGGGGAGGGGGAGACAGCTCCCCAGGAAGATCGTACACCATGAAGTACCCAGGCTCTGAGGTGGGGAGGGGAGACAGCTCCCCAGAAAGATCGTACACTATGAAGCACCCAGGCTCTGACCCGAGCAGGTGAGGACATTCAAGTTAGAAGCTGGTGTCGCTGCTGGGACAGACAAGGGAGGTAAGAGGAAGGGAAGAACGGGCACCTGTCTCAACACAACGGGGGTTGGGGGGGGGGGGCAGGGACCACCTCTCCATTCTTAGATGTACCTTGTTAAAGCACCACGCCCAGCATGTGTGATGCTTGATGAACATTGAATTCTTTTAACTGCAAGTTACAACATACCAGATAATAAGAAATCTAAAGAGGTCACTGGTGTTGCTGTAAGTAATATGTAAGTAATAAAGCTTAAAATAGGAGTATAGGTGGCACAACCCAAAGATGCTCATGCTTTAGCTATTCCAGTAGTTGACATCAACCGGTGGCCTCCGTATGCACCCCGACTTGGGACCAAACCGAATGACACCCTGGGTATATGCGACTGGGAATCGAATTGGTGACCTTTGGGTGCACGGAATGATGCTCAGTCAACTGAGCCACACTGGCCAGGGCTGTATGTTTTTATAAGAGCAGTCATTTCTATACTTGCAGCTAATTGACAAACTTGGTCATTATGTGGCTTATTAGCATTCTATGAAATAATATGAAACCTGGGGGATAACGGAGCTTTAGAAGCCCATACTGTCGCCTGGCCGCCGTGGCTCAGTAGTTGAGCATCGTCCCATGCACCAAAAGGCTGCCGGTTCGGTCAGGGCATATCCCCCAGGTTGTGGGTGTGATCCGCGGTGGGAGTGCACATGGTCAATGACTCTCTCTCACATCGACATTTCTTTCTCTCCCGTTCTCCCTTCCAGTCTCTCTAAATTAATAAAAACATAAAAACAACAATACTGCTCTCAGGATTCTAAACACAAATCAGGGTTTGACTGGGGTCCTCAAACTGCAAATCTTAGGGCCTAAGGTTGAGCCTATTAGGGTCAAGGCTGAAAGACCTGTGAGATTTACATCACCTTCATACCCACCTGCTCTTGTCTGCCGGTGCTTAGGAGTGGCAAACCGGTCCCACTGTGCCACAATGATGGCGGAAATGCCCAGGACACAGATGATGGAGAGGTAGATGAGCCGTGGCTGTGGGGAGCAGTAGAAGGAGTAATAGAGCCATGGGACAAAGCTCCCCATAATCAGCAGGGCAATCCCTGAATAGTCCAGTCTGAAAGAGAGCCACAAAGTTAAAATGCATCAGTGGGAGAAATGAAGACTTCCTATGGCTCCTTTAACTGTCTGTTTTTCCTTCCATCTGCTCGCAGATCTGACCATCCCCCATCTCGTCTATATCCTGGATTGAAATCCACAAGGTTAAACACTTGTCTTTGCAGTGGAAGAGTTGCTAAGAGTCCCCAATCACAGAACTCTCTTCCCCTCAGGCCCCCTATTGGCACTTAAATTCAGCTTTTCGCTCAGGAGGGCTCTGACTGTCCCCCAGTTCTGACAAGTTGAGTTCTAAACACAAACCCTTAAATTGGAAGTAGTAGTAAGAGGTACTGCTGTTTTAATTGACTTTTAAATGATAAAAATGTATTGCCATTACTGGTGTTATTAGGAAAAAAACAAAATAATCCACCCCCACCACCAACAACAACAGGCTCAGAACGGGGATTATGGAAGGCAGCAGATGACAGGCATCTGGGGCTCCCAGCGATGTGTGGGCAGCGAAGATAAGTTGCTTGGCCGTGGGCAGGAGCACAGCAGAACGCAGCCAGGACCTGTCGCCACGCCCTGCTGGGCCCGGGCGCTGGTCTGGTGAGTAGCCCACTGGCACCCAGCTCACCCAGGACAGCGCTGAGCAGGTGGGAAATACAGTCCACAGCTGGGTTCCAGCTGTTGGGGCTACCGTGCATTTTTTCATGAAGGATTTAAAAGAGCCTCATCACTCTATTACACCTACAAGGTAGAAAGCCTTTCCTTGGGCACAGCAGGGCGTCTTCAGGGGCCACTGGGGGTCCCAGTCCTCAGGCCACAGGATGTGACAGCAGGGCCCGGTGTTCCCCTCCCTCCTCACCCCCGTCCCAATGGCAGGCCTTTCACTCACTTGGAAAAAGTCCGAGAGACTTTCTCTGAGTGACAGTAGACGGTGTGAAAGAGCCAGGAGAAGCTGAGGCAGAGCACTGCGCCCAGGAAGAACATGCCGAACACCACCTTCTCCTGCAGGGGCGCCATGAAGTACATGTTTGGTCTCAGCATGGTCAAGATTCCCAGGAACAGAAACAGCACAAAACCTAGAGGAGGAAGAGGAACAGAGCTGAGGAGGAAGGGAAGGTGTGCATTCCGACAATTGGTGTTAAATCAGGACTAACATTATAGGGTTTAGCTGTGGGAACTGTAGTCCAAAATTTTGGAGAAAATGGCACCAGTCACATAGACCCAGACAAAAAGATCATTTCAGAAAATGCTGGCATTTCGCTGTGACAGTGGAAATGTATGGAATGGAAGGAACTGCCTCCAAGCTGGACAGTTCTTCCAGGGATTACAAGATAACACCACACCTAGTTGCATCTTCTTCTCCCATTTCTAGTCCCCCCCCCCACCCCGCCTGCCTTACGGACCAATGACCAAGAGCTGACCAAGCTCACTGGCAGTTTGGAGGCGCAATGCCAGCTTTCAGTCAGCCAGAACAACTTTGTTCTTCCTAGCCAGAGACGAAGGCTATAAAACTCCTTTGCACTTAAAGAGACAAAAACTGCCTTTTCCCACCCACATCACTCACCAAGCAGATGGGTCCAGATGTTGCCGGTCTCCGTGTGGATGCGGAAGATGCTCCGGAAGCAGGCCCGGAAGGAGGGCATGGGCGGCCTGTGGCCGTGGAGCAGGTAATCGTTGTCTTTCAGCCAGTCAGGGAGCACGTCGTACGGGATGACCCTCCAGCGTCCCTCCCAGACCTGGAACGGTGGGAACATGAATGTGCCTGTGGCTTTTAAAACCATCATTTCAGCCTCCTTGACCCGCTCCTCCTGGAGATTCTGGCCGCCCCTGCTCTGCCCTTCCCAGGAAACGAAATCCTCACGGGGCCGAGACAGTGTCTTTTAGAGCAGGGGTTCTCAGCCTCGGACACGTGGACAGTGAGCAGAAGCCAGGGACAAGATGGAAAAACTTCTTGTTTTCACTCACCTCTAACTAAAATTCAACATTTCCCTCAATTTAAGTGTGAGCAGCAAACCACAGCAGGATTAGAACTGTGACACTGTCATCAACAGAAATCACAGATATTTTCATACCTTAGTTTTGCAGATACCAACATATTTTTATTCATCACTACTTAGAACTTAAAAATTTTGTCCTGGCCGGGTAGCTTAGTTGGTTAGAGCTACCCAATACATAAAAGGCTGTGGGACTGATCCCCAGTCAGGGCACATACAAGAATCAACAAATAAATGTATAGATAAGTGGAACAACAAATTGATATCTCTCTCTCTCTCTCTCTCTCTCTCTCTCTCTATCAATAAAATTTAAAAAACCACAAATTTTAATATAATATTTTAAAGCTTGTCATTAATGCATATTTAATGTTTTAATAAAGGAGCCCAATCACATTTTAATATTTTGATGACTGCCAAAGGGATCCACAGCAAAAATAATTGAGAGCTCCTGTTTAGTACATATATTTAAATATTTATTTATTTATTTTTATTGTTTAAAGTATTACATGTGTCTCCTTTTTCCCGATTGCCCCTCCCCCCCCCCACCCCGTCGCCACTCCTGCTCAGAACATATTTTGAATAATGCTTTAACACATTAGGCAGTAAAAATCTGCTAGCCTGATATTTACTGCACCTTAAGCAAAAACAAATACACACAGGATCAAAGGTCTTTAGCCCACTGCAGGCCCACCTGCTGGGACACCCCCAGTAAGCCCACCGCCCCTCCCCTCCATAAGCTCAGCACCTTATACACGAACTCCTCCATCTTCTCCATGGCATGGTGTGCTTGCAGGGGGAGTGTCAGGACCCTCACCTCCTCCTCCTCCTCCTGGGGCACTGGGCATGCTTGCTCTTCTTCAGCCTGTGAGAAAAAATAAACACAAACCCATCCTAGCAGTCACCTCATAAACCGTGCTATTGCAGGCCAGACAGCTCTAGGGAAACCCCAACTCAATGCTGTGTGCACAGGGCCTTGTGGCCTCTTCTTTAAAGCATGACAGTTAGTAAGCTCACGACACTCTAGTTCAAGATCGACTGATACTGTGTAAATGCTGGCGTGAAAGCTCAGTTCACACAGGAGACAGGCTGATGGGAACTGGCAATGGAGGGAGGGCACAGGATGAGCACACTAGTCCCCACGTTCTGTAAGTCTGAAGGCCCCCCTCCCCCAATCTCTAGAACAGCGCTTCTCAAGTTCCCCCAATTTCCCAAATACTTCCACCTCCCAGACCACGAGATTCTCAAAGCAAAGAGCAGGACTGAGTCTCAGATCCCCCGAGGACTGAGATCTGCTCACAGTTCCGTTTGCTGACTTTGGGGTGCCATGATGACAGAACTTTGTATCCTCAGGAGGACCTGGGCCCGGGACTGATTCCACAGAAGAAAGCACCCGGGGCAGGAGCACCCTCATGGAGACTGTCCCGCGACTCCAAGCCACGGCGGAGCCTGGCACTCAGCTCCTTCCCCGACATCCTCTCTCCCTCCTGCTGATGGTCCCTGGTAAGCAGACGGCCCCTCTCGGGCTGTGACGGATTCCAGTTTGCCTACCCAACAGCACACTCCCTCTTGTCCTCGTGACAGAGTCCTTGGTGTCGTTACTGTAATTTTACTCAGGCCCAATGAGAAGCTAGCGTTGCCCAAGCTCCACTGCAGCTGAACATGACTCCACAACTTCCCACAGGTGGCGTCAAGGGCAGTGTCTTCTAGAAAGGGCGGGTCCTTCTCCCCTCCTCCTTGGTGGTGGCCAGTGTGGGCCTGGTGGGTGACCTCAAGAATGAAGGAGGAGGGTTTTCTTTGTGCTTAATCCCTTCACCTTTTTCACCCAGCCCCACAACCCCTCCCCTGACAGCTGTCAGTCTGTTCTCTGTATCCATGAGTCATGGTGATTATCTGAGGGGAAGCAGCGGGGGAGGTCGGAGAGGGTAAAGGGGGGAACAAATGGTGATGGAAGGAGGACACGTGATACAATATACAGATGATGAATTATAGAATTGCACCCCTAAAACCTATATAATTTTATTAGCCAGTGTCACTCCAATAAATTAAAAATAATTTTTTTAAATGAAGGAGGAGCAAGACAGGTGCCTGGCAGTGGCGCAGCCTCCACACAGCCTTGGCCAGTTCCTTCTAGAACCCTTTACTGGACAGACTGCTGTCTTGCCAGAGCCACAGGGATGTTTGTTTGTTATATGAAGCCAAACCTCACCTAACTGACCCTTCGTTCGCTCAGCCATTTACTGATGACGTATGGGATTGTAGGCCTTGTGCTAAGCACTGGGGTTATAAAGATGAGCGAATTCATAAAAGCGCACAGTGGGGAAAACATACAAATAAAAAGATCCTTCGACCCAGCATGAGGACGAGGTGAGACATTCCCAGGGTGCCCTGGTTCCCCTTCTGGGGAGGGAGGTGAGACGGCAGAGGCTCCAGGAGAAAGTCCGATGGAGGACATCACTCCAGGAAAGACAACTTACTTTGGCCGGGTCAGCGATCCCGCGTTTGCCCTTCTCTTCCAGCAGGGGTCCCAGTTCCGCCAGCTCCACCGTGTCAGTCTCCCTGTTACTGGCAGGAGCCCCATTGCCCTGTGCCACCACCGGTGCTTTGTGAGAAGACATCTAGCTGGTACCTCAGGACCCTGCAGCGTCAGCTTGGGGACAGGCTGGGTGTCTCAGCCCCAGGGGGCAGACACTAAAAGCAAACACAGACAAGGGCGCTGACAAATTGCTCCTCTTCTGGTTCCATTTCCACAAGTCGGCACTGAGTACGATGCTAGCTAATAAACTCATTCTGTCGCCAATTCTAAAGGCCACTTAATGCTAAAAAGAAATCTATTCCTTCTTCCTCTTTAATAGTAGCCTTTACTCAGAACCCCACTAATCTCACAGGTAAGGCTGAAAATAGAGCACTTGGTTGTTTGCCTTCAAAGCATCTGTGGTTTTCGTACCAAACTGTCACCACAGAAAAACAGTGTCTACCCTCAACTCCCCCACTTGTATGGACCCCATTCAGTGAGAAGAAATAGCCCATCAAGCCAAAGCTATTCGCCCAAGAAAGGTCTGGCTTTGAGGCTGTGGAGCAAAAATATGAAGTCAACACCTGGCTGTGACTACAAGGCCTCCCAGGCTTAGAAAGGAATTAAGTGCCAGCTGGACTCAGCTGGGTTTTACCTACAAATGCTCGGATAATGCAAATACCCTGCATGCAGAGGGAGCTCCTGGGCTAGCTGCCCAGCGGTTAATTTCTCTGTGAGGCCTCCTAATTCTATGATAGGATTAGAGCGTGGGTTCAACACTTAGATAACACCCTTCACCACCATTTCCCTGTAAGGTAACCAATCACTTACCTGAAAGCAGGAAGCTGAGCACAAGGAGGCAGCCTTGCCCTTTGCCACACAAATCCCAAACCGGCTCAGCAAGAGCCTGGCCAGCCACCACAGGTCGTGAGCAAAGCCTCGCTCAAACGAGCCTTTCAGAAACCAGACAGGCAGATTCTTCAGGAAAACCAGGGAAACCTAGAACTCCGTTTTCGAGGAACTCTCCAAACCCTCAGGCCCTCCAGAGCTGGACTTCAGATAGCCGTCTTTAACCAGGCCTCAGGGTGATGAAAATAGTATTGGAAGGTGCCAAAGAGTTCCACTATCCTGTAAATGACCAGGTTTTTCCCTCTCCCAGAAACAAGGAGTTTATGTCTCATAGCTGTAGTAGTAGCCATAATATTAGCATTTTCTTGCCCTGGCTACCTGTGTCCCCATAACTCCAGGGCAATGCAAAGAGGACCACGTAACGCCTACTCATGGAATGAGTTGCTTTACAGGAGTGGAAACTTAAGCTTAGGGAACCACAACTTGTGTAAGGGCAGCAAGTAAGCGTGACTCTGCTCCCAGGGGAAACTGTCTCTTTCTTGTACAAGTTCTTCTTTTAAAATCCAAAAGTAATCACACTTTCTTCTCAGGGATTACAGTTGGTTTATGTAGGCAAGTGAGGGCAATCCTCAAATTTCAAAAGTCATGCTGTGCTCAACTCACAAGCACAACGGAAAGCAACAAGCAAATTTAGTTCAAGAGACAAACAAAAATTCACTGTACATGGGCCTTTCCATGGTGTCAACACAAAGAAAGTTCCTCTTTCTTCAAATGTGCAGACTGACAAGACAGAGGCCACTTAGGCAACAGCTGAGCCCACGGAGACCAGGAAACGGGAGGCCCCTGGACAGCTCAGGAGAGAGGCAACCCACGTGAGAAGCAACGTTGGGAAATCCTCTTCAGTAGGCTGACCACAAAACACGTTTCCTCACAGGGAAGCACTACCTTACCAACAGCTTTACTGAGAAGGACTTTATATTGGGAAACATATATAAATAGCTTTGGGCATCTCGCAGAAGTAAGTCTCGAAAGGAGAATACACTTAGCTTAGTATACTGCTGGCAGTACTTCAGAGACGGCCAAAAAATTATTCTCAGGTTTAGGGATCCAGTACTACCTCGAATGGATACAGATCCCTGATTCTGGTCGGAGCCCACAGTTCAAAAGGAATGAATGGATGAATGGGGCAGCTTTCCAGCCAGCAAGCATGTGACTCATTAACCTTTATCACCAGCTAAGGATTTATGCGCTTTCTGGTGCTGGTGGAGCTTTCCCCTTTCACTGAATACGTAACCAATGCATTTAGTGCTGCGCCCTCAGGCATTCTCAGCTACTGTGCAAAATACAAAGTGGAACACGTCAAGGAGCCTGCAATCAGAGGGCACAAGGTAATTTGTGGCATCAGTAAAGCCAGGGATACAAGAACCCCTAAACTAGAACAGCCACACACAAAGTTCAGTTACTCTGAATGCTGGGAAACTATTTTAGGAGAAGCAATCAGAATAACATAGCCAAACGTTAAGTTGGGCAATCAGGGTCAAGAGATCAGATGCAGAACCCAGCTTGGTAGTCTTAAAATTTCCTCATTTGATCTGAAAAGTTCCTACGCCCTCAAGTCTAGGTTCTCCTAGGACAGTGGTGGCGAACCTATGACCTCATTTTTTTGGTTGACTTTTTTTTGTTAAATGGCATTTAAATATATAAAATAAATATCAAAAATATAAATCTTTGTTTTACTATGGTTGCAAATATCAAAAAATTTCTATATGTGACACGGCACCAGAGTTAAGTTAGAGTTTGTCAAAATGCTGACACACCGAGCTCAAAAGGTTCGCCATCACTGTCCTAGGATAACCTCAGTTTTTGGCCCTCATCAAAGTCTTTCCCGTTTCTGTCCAAATCATCTGCTGCTAATTTTTCTGATTCCCTCCAACTCCTCTATTACTCGCTCCTACACTCCCCACCCCCTAGCAGTGTCTCCTAGATTCAGTCACTAAGCCTAACACCCCATTAACTCATCAACCCGCCATCAGCTACAAGATATGTCATCATGCAATGAAATACATACAGTGGAGGTCATCATAGTGAGCAAAAGTCCACTGTCCACTTTGGTCTTCTAAACTGTAGCAACACAGAGACAGGAGAGGGAGAGAGAGGGGTCGGAGGTCTGGCAAGAAAGAAGAGCAGATAATACTAGGACCTGAAAATACCATTTCTGACAGGGCAGCCCACTCATAAACAGCTGGGAGTTATTACAAATGTTTTAGTCTCTATGATATATAAAATCAGCATAAACCCTTAAGTTGTTAAGACTGATTCTGGGAGCACTAAGGACTTCAGCTAGCTACATCCTTATGTATTTTAGAAAATTCACCACACCCAATATAGCAAATTATAATTGGGCCAAATCCCACCGAATGCATTTTTTGATGGGATTTCTTCAATTCCAGCTAATAAGTCTTTACCACTAAGCTTTCTATCTGGATAAACCAATATTAGAGAGTAGAATATGGAGGCAGGGAGGTGTTTGTGCTCCTATAAATAAGATAATCTTGTGCCAAACTTGAGAAAGGACTGATTCTCAATCACTCGCCAGCCAGCTGGAGACATTTTTGGAGACATTTATGCTGAGAACCAGTTCCCAATTTTCCAGGCTATTGCACTCTCCTTCCCTGGAGTCAATGGGCACAAGTCCTAGAGGTTTTATTCTGGGGTCCCTGCACCCCTAGAGGTTCCATGGGTAGGCTCTGTGTATGCCTACCTGACTAGTCTAGCAGAAAAGACAAGAGAGCACACAGCTGTCTTCTCCTCTTGATACCCTCTGCTGGGAAAAGGCCGATGCTGAAAATTACCAACTGCAGTAACAGGGCCTCGGCTTTCCTACTTGATGCCAAGTCACTGGCTTAAGAGTCTGAAGCGGAAAATCACAAGCTTATGTCCTTTGTAGCTCTTCTCCAGCTAAAGCAGTCCCAGCAGGAGGTCTTTTTTTTTCCTTTCCCAAACAGACAGTAAGCTTTTCAAATGCCATGATAAAAAAAAAAGAAGAAGAAGAAAAAAGTAAATGGTACACAGGCACATGCAGCAGTCCCTGTTTCAATACCTGGCCATCAGTACATTGCAGACACACGGTTAGTAGTTACACACCGTAATGGTCACTTGACACGGGGTGCCCCAGAATCCCCCATGAAACAAACGCAAGCCAAGTACACACTTAGAAGCCAATTACTGAGAACTGGTTTGTCTAGGGGGCACTTTCAAGGTCCTTTCAAACCAAGATAGCTACAAACTTTATAAATAATAACCACACCCCAACACTTCTGAGCAGAAAAAGAGAATCAACTCTGAGTGTAGTGAGAGGAACAAAGTCCAGTGAGAGGCATTAGGGACAAATGGACGTTAAGGAGAAAATGTAATGCTTTTAATGGGTACCAACACCAGAAAACCCCCAACATAATTCATAAAGCTTCCAATTTAAAGATGAATGTTGAGTTCGCCAGTGTGATCACAGGAGATGGAAAGGAATAATGTAATGTGTCAGGAGTGTCAGTGTGGCTTTATGTTATAAGGAAGTAGAGACCTTCCAGGGAAATAGAGAACTGGCCTAGAAAGAAACACAAATTTTGTTTTTGTTCTTTCTTTTTCGTATTTTTTTCCTTTTTAAGCCCCCCCCCCCCCCACTTTTCCATAAAGAATTCTTGGAAAGGTAAACGGAGGCCAGCCTGAAGAAACGGAAGATGGCCTGACAGCCTACCTAGGCTGGTGCACTTGACCCATCAGCAGTGGGAGCCTCTGGATTAATGCTGCTTCCTGACACTTCCCTGAGATTCTTTCCTACTTGCAGGTAAAGTGATTGGTTTAATCCCTGGAGAATCACAGAAATGCTTGGCCACTGAGAACAGAACGCGTTCAGATTCCGCTCTGCAAGCAGGTACAGGGGAGCTGCTCTAAGATGGGCCTCCGCAGGCCGGTAGGACTGGCTCCCCAGGTGCCAACCAGGACAGGAGCAGCAGTTCCTCCCGGAATCACTCTGTGGCTGTGAGCTGGGACTGCTGCCCGACACTGCGATCTGTTAAGCACCACCCAGCGAGCTCCTCCGACCGCAGATGCTGTGAAAACATCGAGCAGCTGCACCGGGACAGGTGCCCCGCGCCCTCCAAGAGGAAAGCAGTGAACAGACCCCCGCTGCATTTCAGAAAAGAGCCACCACAGCGTTCACCTATCTAAGTGGCAGCCTCCCCCTGTCGCTGTCGGTCTAACCACCGGGGGAAAGACTACGGTTGCTCAGTGAGTCCTCCTGGGCTCCTACGGCTCCTCCCACACGGAGTCCGTGTCAACTGAAGTGCCTCGTCAGGTTCCCACCGCCGAGGAGGCAGGAAAAGCTGAGGGAAAGCATCGATCTACTTTGTTTTCTTAAAAATCAAAGGCGTGAAGGACAAATCTTAAGCATAAGATGGCAAACATCAATGCAGAATTTCTGAGGGAATGGAATTTCGTCTTCCCCCAAAGTAGTTTAGCCTTTGCTCCAGGTCAGCGTTCAGGATTCCCGTAAACAAAGGTGAACTGTCCGCTAACCTCCCCTTTCCCAACACCGAGGAGGGGGCAGTGTCGGTCTGATCTGACCAAGACCAGGTCGAGGATCCCTGGGGCTCTCGGGCCGCGGTCCTGCGAGCCGGCCCCCACCCTCCCCCCGCTCCCCCGCGCTCGCGCCGCCGCCGGGACCGGGCTCCGTTCTGGGCCTGGCCCGCCCCCAGCCAGAGCCCGAATCCCGACATCTCCCCGGGCGGGGCGGGAGGACACCGCACTCACCAGCACGGCCGGCCGCTCGGAAGCCGGGGCCGCGGCCCATCCGCCCTTAAGAGGCTTTCGAGGTCGCCTCGGAGGCGGCGCGCGGCTGGGAGGGGCCGGAAATGTTTACAACACCGACCGCGGAGAGCCGGAGCGGCGGCCGGCGTCGGGCGGGGTCTCGGACCTCGGGGCGCCCCCGTCGCGAGCCGGGGCCTAGCGCCTCGGGGCCCCAACCCCCGGCCACTCGCTCGCCGCCGCCCCCGAAACTTACCGCCGGCGACGGGCTCAGCTGGGGCCCGCGGAGCCCGCGCTACATCCCGCAGCGCCGCAGGCGGCCTGCAGCCCAGCGGCCCAGATCTGGACGCTCCCCGCGCCGGAAGGGGGCCCAGCGCTGACGTCACCTCTGCGCCGCAGCTCCGGCCCCTCCCACGGAGGGTCTTCCTCCAGCAGGCCAATCACAGGCCCGCTCCCCTGGGCCACGCCCCCGCGCAGCTCCGATCCCGAGCCCCGCCTCCTTGGCTGGGTGAGGACCACACCCCCAGCTGCACGCGGGAGCGCCCGACGGAGGAATGTCGGGGCGTTGGGCTGCACCCCGCCGCGTTTCATCCCTGTGCCCGTCCTCTCCGCTGGCAAACCCCTGATCTCACCATGGCCGATGCCACTTGTTTGCTCTTCCAAACACTCCTGAGCCCCTCTTCTTCAGCCTCTTGGTCCCGCCCACATTGATTGACCGGCACCATCACGTGCGAAGTACTGGGCTCCACTTCGGTTTGGCGCCTGTTATTTCTGGAATAAACAGCGGCCTCCAGCCTTGCTCCAGAACTCACTGCCCAGTCTGTGCTCCCACGCTCCGGCCCGAGTGCAGGTCTGGGAGACCTCGGTGGTGCAGCCCCCCTCTAACCACAGAGCGTGATTTGAGGCAGTGATTTTCAACCAACGAGCTAGATCAGCAAAATTTATATTTTTTGGTGTGCCAGAGAATTTTAAATTAGTTTACATGGGCTATGAGATGAAAAAGGTTGAATATCACTGATCTGAGGGACCACTTTCTCAGTTCTCCGGAGGATGGGGCATAACTAGTGCGATTTTAGATGGTAGTTGGTGACAGTCTATGGCTACCTGGGGTCAGTGAGATTCTCTTGGTGCTGGTTAAAAGCATGGGCTTGAGTAACCCAGACCCAGGTTTCCATTCCTGGCCGACCGATGATCTTGAGCACCTTACTGAATGCCTCACCTGAAAAATGGGAAGAAAACCGTGCTCCTTCACTGGGTCTTTGTCAGGATTGAGATGATTTATGCAGGCTCTTCTATGATGCCAGGCAAATGGCAATGCTTCATACATGTTGGCTGTTATGTGATGCCTGCTGTATAAAACCCTCAGAAACGTTCATTGTCCACCGGACTGACTTTAATTTTCCTCAGCGAGACCTTTGCCAAATCCTTAATCTTAGACTCAGGATGATCATAAGGATTAAATTATGAATACTTAAGCAAGTGTCTGGTTTGTGGCTGTGAACTCAGCAACGTCTTTTCTTCTCTTCCTCCTCTTCTGAATCCTCCCCCCCATCCACATCTTGTATCTCTACTCTAGTATTAATCACTGTATTGTAATTACTTTTCACATGTCTGTTTTACTTTAGACGAGGAGCTCTTTGGGGGTCAGAGACCAGTCTGTCACAGTGGTGTCCTGCGCTGGGCACGGTGCTTGGCACAGGGCAGGCCCTAAAGAAATGTTTGCATACTGAGTGGATGAGACAGAAACCCATGCAGAACAAGGAGCGGTGAACTTGTGTGTGAAGAATTTTCTTTGCTGGCTGCTTTATTATCTGAACCCAACAATCCTAAGCACGATTTTCCTTTCTGGAGATGAGGAAGCTAAGTGTCTCTCCCTGTATATACATCTAGTAGTACACACATACTAGCTGATCAAGAAATGTTTGATAGAATGCCAATAACAGAATTTACTGATGATTCTGCTTTATGAAAGGGATGAATTCTCAGGGTCCCATAACCCTTCTTTTAGGGGCCCCAAAGAAAGCAATACATGGTTCCATGCAGAAAAACAATGCTGACCTTTCCTCCTGAAACTGATGCATAGTTCTATCCCAATGGGACTAACAAAGATCTCAAAAAGCTGCCTGGTCCAACCCTGGGAGATGGGAGTGGATTGGGTCATGACGTCATAACAGAGGAGAGGGCAGACAAGACGGATGGGCCAGGGAGGCCAACTCTGTCCAGGCACCAATAAGTCTGGCTGGGCTGGTGATGTCAGGTTATTGTTTTTAAAAAATGTATTTTTATTGATTTTAGAAAGGAAGGGAGAGGGAGAAAGAAATAGAAACAATGACCAGAGAGAATCATTGATTGGCTGCCTCCTACAGGCTCCCTACTGGGGATTGATCCCCCAACCCGGGCATGTGCCCTGACCGGGAATCAAACTGTGACCTCCTGGTTCACAGGTGGACACTCAACCACTGAGAAACACTGGTTGGCCTTAGGTTACTTTTAAAGGAGAAGGCTTCTCTTCCAAACAGAAAGACAATACAGTACTTTCATTTTTTTGCCAGGTACCCTGAAGGATGAATATGGTGAAGGAAGGGTCAAGAGAAGGGAGAAGGAAGAGTGGCCAACGAAAGGACCGCTGGACCTGGGCTCAAAACGCATCCCCTCTAAGCTGTACTCTGTCCCCGACCTGAAAAGCCTCCAGGGAGAAGCTAAGCTTCTGCTTCTGCTGAGACAGCTGCAAAGATGATCATGGTTTGGGAACAGCTTACGTTTTAGCACACAGGACAACTGCTCAAGGGTTCTTGGGAAGACCTGGAAGAATTCTGTGCTGGGAAGCCCTTCCTCCCCAAACTCTCAGGCGTGAAAAGCCTTGGCGACAAGACCATCAGACACAACAGCCCTGTAGGTATAACACTGGGGCCTTAGCCCATTTATTTGCATAGCCAGAGGTTCCTGCCACAAGCAGCAGTCTCAGACTGTGGATAGCCACTTCCCTCTAGCCTGGGCTGGGCAGAAAGAGACAGACATGCAAATGCATATTTGAGATTCCTCTCTCTGAGGCCTGCAGGTCTGAAGAAACCACCTGCTCCTTTCCTGCAACCTCTGTAAGACTAGCTTTAGAAGTCTGCTCAACTTGCACTCACAGAATCTGCTACGAGTTAAGCACTGAGTAGTAAGTAAAACCCATTACATAGGTTGTTCCTTTCCACACAGACAAAGAAGAGTGTGATGCTACCCAGGAAATAGGCAGGCTTGGGACGAAGGTACGTGCTTCCTTCTTCCTGACCCATGGAAGAGACTGCTCCATGGCCTGACCTGGACCTTTTGTCACAGGGAGATTTGGGGGGCCTTCCAGGGAACGCCTTGGCCTTAGCTCTCTCCAGGGCTACAAGGATGCTGTTCCTGTAGGTACCATCAGATTTCAGCTTCAGAAAAGGACAAAAGGCTTACCCTTCCAGGAAAGAGAGCTAGGACTTACAGCATGCGAGCACTGACCAGGAACATTGCCAGGAACGGACCAGGGAAGCCAGGGGACGATCAGTAGGTGAAGCGCATCTTTTGAGAGTAGCCCAGTTTGTCCAGGTTGGGGTGGCAGGCCAGCTGCACCATTGGGGGAGGCCCACAGAGAAGCAGCAGCACGTCATCCCCTGGGGAAGGCAGGTGCTCCTGGATCATGTCCGCAGTCACAAAACCCTGGCTGTAGGTCCAATCTGCAGTGGAGAGGAGAGAACAGTCACTCCAGACCCATGCTGGCAAGGGGTGTAGAGCCTGAGGTGGGGAGGCCCAGAAAGGCTCTGGAGAAGGTGTCAAGTGAAACACAGCCTGCACTCAGCCTGCCTCAGCAGCACAGCCGTTCCTGCCGCCCACCCGGTGAGCAGGGACCTGAGGGAAAGGGCTGGGAGACCCCTGCGTCCCTGCACACAGACTGGGGGGGAGCTCAGAGTGTCAGGGAGGTTGGTTCCACCGAAACCAGAACCCAATAGGGGCAAGGCCCTGGTTCTGGGATATCCAGAATGGGGCGGGTACCTGCTGGGGGATGATCCAGAGTGAACCAGAGTTGAAAGCGACTGGGGTATTGGGCCTGCAGCTCCTCCAAGTCCTCCCGTAAGATTATGTCCTTTTCAGTCTGAAATGGAAAGGAGAGACAAAGTCTTTAGGAATCTTCTCAGGCCCACATAACATTTTGTAACCAGGAGAGAAAAAGAAAGCATGACTTTTAGGTTGGTTAGGATGAGGGGGAAGGAGAGGGGAACAGGCTTTATTTACACAGCATGAAGAAATAAAGATGGCATATCTAACCAAGGTAACTCAAAGAGCAAGTTTTTATGCTCAGGACGATATTCCCAAAATGTTTTCTTTTCTTTTTTCCTTGGGCCCAGGGAAGGAATTGGCTCAGGGCTTTGTCCTCTTATGGTAGCAGAGGGTCCTCTAGCTACAGGGGGATCTTGGGCACTGGTCTGTTTCTGCCCATGGGTGCCACATCTCTGAGCTGACCCACACAAATGAAAAGTCCCAGGACTGAGAAAAGCAAACCAACCTGGTTGGCAAAAAGCAAAGAGCACTGGGTTGGATCTGTGGGGTCTTTCAGGATGGCCCGGATCAGCTGAAGCATCGGGGTGATTCCTGCATAGACAGCCACAGGGAGACATGGTAGTCACAGCCTACCTATTCCAGCTCCTTAGCCAACCAACGCTTTCATCTGAATGCTTCCCATTCACCACTGCACCACCTTCACTCAGTGTCCAAGTCCTCTAACCTCCTGTGTATGCTCCAGCACCCACAGTTCTGGATAGACATGCCTCTTACCAAAAACTGGTATCTGGTAGGTGAACTGTCGTCATGCTCAGTTCAAGCCACTCTCATGTCGCTGTGGGCTCATATTGTTAAAGTCCTTCTAAGACTTCCTCCAAACGTCCCCTGTTGGCTAGGACTCAGATGTCACAGGTGCTGACTCAGTGGGACAGTCCTGAACTGGGCTTGCAGGTTCAGGGCAAGTGCTCTGGAACCAGGCAGAGCTGGATACTAATCCTTTACCTCTTAACCTCTCTGCAACTGCCTTTTCTCATAGACACAGACGTAAAGAGCCTACCATAGTGTCTACTATGTGGAAATGTCCAGTGCTAACTTTCTTCTTGACTGGCCTGTTTCTAGCGGTGTCCCTGTTCTCACCTAAAGGAGATCCATTCAGTGGGAGGTCTTAGGAGAGCACACATGAGTTATCGCTTATTCTATTGGTTAAAAAATTGCTATTGGTTTCCACCTGATCGTGATTTTGTTTTTCAGGTACTGGGGAGCCCTGGGCATTGCTGCGAGTCCCAATTACCAGCTTGATCATGATTCCAAAACCTTCCGAGGGTCCCCGGGAAGTTTTCATGGCAACACCAACAATGGTGGGAGAGAAGGGCCCCCAAGCAACACACACCTGTCCCGCCGGCGATCATGCCCAGTCTCTTTGCCACTCGGGGCTCTGGTGGAGACTTTTGGTTGGGCTGAATGCTAAAATTCCCTGAGAAGTCAAGAGAAGAAGGGATGGAAGAGTGAAGTCAACATAGGAAATGAAGAAAACAAATGCAGAACTAAAAACGTCGCAGGCCAGGTTAGCAGCTGCTATGAAATCTGACGCTGGAGCTGGGCGGACATCTGAGTTGAGCCAGCCCTGATAATACATAGGAGGGTCAATGGGGCCAGGATCACATGGCCTGTATTATTAACTACCAGTCAGTTTAGGCGACACAGTGAGTCAGCAGCTGCTTCGGGCAGAGGGTCACCCCTAGTGAGGGCAACTGGCCTGGGGACAGGTGTGAATCTACTTTTCCAAGTGCACAGAGCAGCCCCAGAGACTTGCTAATGCTGTTCCCCTGGGAAGGGCTAAAAGCTCTCTCTGGCTCCCTAAACAGCTCAGCCTGAGGGGCGAATCTGTAAGGCAGGGCTGCTTTACTTATCTCCACAGCTGTCATGGTTGGCGAATTCAAGTGGACAGGGAACTGATCCTGATCCCGGTGACAAGTGGGCTGAGCCCTCTGCCTCTCGATACTGTCAGAGCTATGTGTACAGGAAGGCAGCCCTGGCCCCTCTGCACGGCACGTGTGCCCAGAGGACTGGAGAGCTGGGAGAGGCTCGAGGAGCAGAGGGGCCCTTACCTTTCCCCATGTAAGTGAGCAACCCACTTGGCCCTCGAAATTCCACCACATCCCCAATCTCCAGGCTGTCCAGGTACTGAGACATCTTCCCTCCCTCAGGAAACTTGGGGTGCACACCTTTCAGGTAGACCTGATAAGACATAATGGAAAAGACTTTATTTGGGAGGACATTCAGAAAGCCAAGAGACATATGAAAACGTGCTCAAAGTCGCTAATCCGAGAGATGCAAATCAAAACGACAATGTGGTACCATCTCACACCTGTCAGAATGGCTATCATCAACAAATCAACAAATGACAAGTGCTGGCGAGGATGCAGAGAAAAAGGAACCTTCCTTCACTGCTGGTGGGAATGCAGACTGGTGCAGCCACTGTGGAGGACAGTATGGTGTTTCCTCAAAAAACTAAAAATGGAACTCGCATTTGACCCAGTGATCCCACTTCTAGGAATATATACCAAAAAACAGAAACACCAATCAGAAAGGATATATGCACCCCTATGTTTACAGAAGCACAATTTACAATAGCTAAGATTTGGAAACAGCCTAAGTGCCTATCAGCAGATGAGTGGATTAAAAAACTGCTACATCTACACAATGGAATACTACGCTGTGGTTAAAAAGAAGAATCCTTACCATTTGCAACAGCATGGATGGAACTAGAGAGCATTATGCTAAGTGAAATAAGCCAGTCAGAGAAAGATAAGTATCACATGATCTCACTCATTTGTGGAATATAATGACCAACGTAAACTGATGAACAAAAACAGATCCAGAGACAGAAAAGCATCGATCAGACCATCAAACCTCAGAGGGAAGGTAGGGGAGGGTGGGGGTAAGGGGGAGAGATCAACCAACGGTCTTGTATACATGCATATAAGCCTAATCAATGGACACAGACACCAGGGGGGTGAGGGCATGAGTGTGTGTGTGTGTGGGGGGGGGGGCAATGGGGGGATAAGGACACATATGTAATGCCTTAATCAATAAAGAAAAAAAAGACTTTATTTGGACTCTCACTGATTTCTGAGGCCCCGTTGACTGAGCCTCCCTAGGCTGGGGCCATATACGCACGTGCTTTCTTTTCCCCAGTCTACAAAGGACACACACCTCCTGCTATCTAACAAACTCAGAAGTTTCCTCAAATCCCAGAAAAAGTAGGGTGGAGAGCTCCTGGGGTTCCTTCCTACCCCCTTACCTTGATGACAAGATCCACATAGCCTTGGTCTTCATCACTGGTGACAGGAGTGTATGGCCTGATGACCAGGCTGCCATCGATCCGGGCTGAGAGGTAGACATGTTTGCCTGGGGGCCATGCAGAGAATGACATGAGGGTGGCTTGTGGATGTGCTGTGTTCCAGTTACCTTTCAAAATACCCAGGGAGGTTTGAGAGAACAAGGACGTCTTGCCCCAGTCAGCTACCAGGCAGGGAGGATTCACCCCTTTGAGCCCCCAGTTGGATCCCTCTTCAATACCCCAGTGGATAAACTCTTCTGTTACTACCAGGACCTTAGCAGCAGCAGCAGAGATGGGTATAAAATTAGTGGCTGCTCAGGGGGAGGTAGAGCAAATCCTGCGGGAAGGAGGGGGACTGTTGAGTGTTAAAGATGTCTGGGGCACAGAAGCCACACCCTAGAATGACCCACTGACAACCTGGAGGATCCAGCCAGGAGAGGAAGGGGAGAGTGCGGAGGGAGGGACTAGACGAAAGCTGCGTGTTTGGGGAGACTCGGGAAGGAGAATCGCGCTCTTAGGATGCTGGGAAAAGGAGCCCACACGTTCCTTACCCACAGGCAGCCCCAGAGTGTGCTGGGCGGTGGGCAGGGCAAATCGGAACCTCTTGGTGTTGTGGCTCACAGTCTGGAGGACGGATGACAGTGTCACCAGGACATCCCGACCACAGTGGATGCGGTGGCTTCACACAGGAGGGGAGCTCTGGTCCCGCCTCTACCCCGCCCCTTCCTCCGCGGCTCACCGTCTTATCCAGCAGCCGCAGCAGGTACTTCTCATTGGGGTCCAGGAGAGTGACCCGTGGGCGGCGGGACCTCCACACCAAGTAGGAGCCCAGAGCCAGGCCGAGCAGAGTCAGCAGCCCCGCCCCGAGGGAGGCCAGCAGCGCTGGGCTCTGTGGGGACAGGAGGCACTGTGACCGCCCCGCGAGAGGAGAGCCCGCGGCACAGGACGGACCGTCCCGCACGACCAGCGGCCCGAGCCCCAGCGCGGGAGCAGGCGCCGGCCGGAGGGGTCCCTGGGGCAGGGTCCTGGGACCCGACATCAGGGCGAGGGCGGCGGGGAGACCCCAGGCCCATAGCTGAGGGGCCAGAACCAGATGGAGTGGAGTCCCTGGGGCAGGGCCTGCAGGTCGGTCTCACCGGCTGGAACCCCATGACCGAGCACCGCGTCCTCCACCGCTGCGCCCGGCGGGCGTTCCCACGAGTCGCCGCGCGGTGGGCCAGAGGCGGGGCCTGGAGGGAGCTGGGCTGGAAGGGGCGGTGGGGGGCCTGGCACCGGGGAGGCGGAAAGGCGTGGGTCCAAAAAGGCGGGGCCTGGCAAAGAGGGGCAGGCCCGCGGGGAGGGAGGCGGAAGGGGCGGGACAGGAAGAGGTGAAGCCTCACTGGGAGCGGGCCGGAAGGAGGGCCCGGAAGGGGCGGAGCTGACAGCAGTAAGGGGCCGGAAGCCGGAAGCCGGAAGAGCGGGGTCTGGCGACAGAGGACCAGAAGGGACGGAGGGGTGGGGGTTGAGGCTGCAAAGAGCGGGGCCTGACAAAGCGCGAGGTAGTGTCGGAAAGGGCCTGTCTGAAGGTGCGTGGCCTGGCAAGAGGCGGGGATGGAAGCTGCGGTGTCGGGAGGGGCGGGGGGCGGGCCTGACCACAGTCTCGGCCCGGAAAGGGCGGGGCCTGTGAGCGGCGCCGGGGACGAAGGGATTGGCGTGAAAGGGGCGGGGCTGTACGGCAGGGGCGGAGGCGGAAGGGGCGGGACCTGACCCAGGGCGTGGGGACCGGAAAGGGCGGTGCGGAAAGGAGCGGGATACTCCCAGGACTCGCGGCTCCAGGCAGGGCAGGGGCTCCTTGGTGGAAAGAAGCGAGAGTGCAGATGAGAAGTAGGGCCGGTCACGGTGCCTCCTTCCCTCTCTCTGGCCCTTGGAAGCCGAAAGGAGATTGTCTTCTCTCTCCCCCTCGGACCGTGTCGTCTACCGGGGCCCACACAACTGGATGAGGTTGAGCACACACCTCTGCTCGCCGGGGGCAGGCTGGCTCACCCCTGCGGTTGGAGTGTGATTTTCAGTGGCGCTTCCTTTCCTTCTCACACGCACCCCAGTTTGGACAGTAACTTACACGGTCACCCCGCTCCGAGTGCACAGGCCTGGACCCGTTCCTAGCTTTATTTCCTGCCGGCCCTGTAGGCTGCATTCCCCAGGCCCATCCCTGCAGGATCCCCAGCGTGCCTCCAGCGCTCCTCTTCCTTGGGCTGAGTCCAGACCCTGATCTGTCTGATGACGAGCCAGGAGCCCTGAGAGGCCAGCACCAGCAGTCGTATGCAGCTCAGCTGCTCCACGGTGCCCTCTTCGTAAAACACCCTCTGGTCCAAGTTCCCCTGCACCAGCGGGCCCAGCACGGTGTAGCGCGCACAGCTTTCGGGATGCGCCAGGGGGTCGTAGCCCAGTTCTACTTGGCCCTGCTGCAGCCGGTACTGCCCTTGCTTGTCAGCGCCTGTCAGCACCTCTATGCGGACGACTCTCTGTGGCCTTTCCAAAACCACCACCAGGTAGTTGCCCCTTAAGGCATCAAGGGTGATGTAGCTCTCCGTGTTCAGAAAGTAGGCGTACTGGGGAATCACATCCGGCACCGGCCTCATGTCAGTGAGGACGTTGGCTACCGGGTTGTCCGGATCACCAAAGACCACTTCCTTCTCCACAGGAAAGCAGGTGTTCTCAGGCGCAGAATAATTGCCCGTCGGATAGAAGACGGAGGGACTGAAACGAATAGGAACATGTTGGGCCAAGAGAAGGCGGAATTCAGAGAGAAGCAAGTGAGTAGGCGTGCCCTTAGGGAAGAGGAGGAGGAAGGTGGTCAGGCGGGAGAGGTCGCTGCTGTGGAAGACTTTCCCGGAGAAGCTCAGGCTGGAGAACTCCAGGGTCACCCAGGGTCGTTCTTTCCAGGCTGCCAGTGCCCAATAGATGGTAGAAACAAATTTGGGGGTGCAGTCAACGTGATCTTCTACCATCAGAAAGTATTCAGAGAGGCTGGCAGCGAAGTTCATAAGGAGGGCATAGTCGACTTTCTGCCTGGAATAAACAGCTTCACAGGGTGAGGAGTCATTAGTGTTGCCCAGATCTCCTGGGACAAGAGAGCCACTGAGATGACCGTGGATCACAAGCAGCTTCTGGGCCTCAAGATGAGGTTGGAAGAGGCCTGATATGTTGGCGACCATTTGGCTGAGCCATGCAGGCTCAGGATCTGACAGGTGGACCAGCACCACGATACAGTCCAGCTCAGACTCTGAGGAGGCTTGGAACAGAGACTGCAGGGTGTGCAAGAGGGTGCTCCCATGAGGACGCTGCGCTGAGGAGATCCCCACCGTCAGTAGTTCTGGGGGTGGGAGGCATAGGGCACCATTAGCACTCGAGGTGGTGACAAGACCCTCCGCCCCTCTCTCCTTAATGCCAACCCCTGGGGACAAAGTCACATTTCCTTTCCCTTGGAGAGTGTGGTTAGATAAGAGATTAATCTTTGGTCAGATTGTGAAGTGGTTTTATTTGATCACTACTTTGCAAGGTCGTTGGAGGACTAGGCTCTCTGATGGGGAGGCTGCCCTGTACCAAAGGGAAATCTGCTGGCGTGGCATATGAGCCGGGACCTCAGACCTGGAAGGCAGGGTCGGCAGGGACAGAGAAACCGGAGGGCTCTCGTAGTACAGTGCCCAGTGAGCTGGCACCCATCACATTCATCTCCCTCTGGGTCCTTCCCCTCCCTCTTCCCTCAGTCTGACCTCTCTCCCACGTACTCACTCTTCTCCTGGGGAAGGGCTCCAGCCAGGACTTTGTAGCTGGTGAGCTGGAGCACAGGGGAGCTTCTCTGCATCTCCTTGAAGGTCTCCAAGTGGTTCTCGCTTTCAGAGCTGATTTGCTCCTGGTCCAGCTGCTGCAGTATTTTCTTCTTTTCCTCCTGCTAAGGATGGATACGCGTCAGCCCTGAGCTTCACCCCAGCTCCTCTGGAGACAAATGAGGGCAAATCTCCCTTCTAGGACAGACCAAGTAAGCCCCAGGATCCAGTCACCAGGGAGCTCGAGGATCGGGGCTCAGTGAAGCACTGTCCCCACCTCATCATGAGAACACCCGTGGTGCTGGAAGGGGGGGTGGGCCTTGGAGTGGGGGAAGTGGGGCTCTCCAGTTCTGTGTGGAATGCCTGTGGGAAGGCCCCAGGCTTCTGCAGAGTAAGAACCTGCCTGCCCCACCTTGCCCAGGTCTAATTTCTCCACCATTACCGGCTGGCAGAGCCCCTGGCTCTGCTTGGACTGTGCTGGGTGTGGGACAGCTGCTGAAGACCGAGCTGTCTTGTCCTGAAGGAACGACACCTGGTGCCTCAGTTCTAAAGGCCTTTCTTCACTCAGTTCTGGCCGCACACTCCCCACAGCCACCTCCCCCTCTGCTCTAGCCGGTCTGAGGCCCGTGGGGAGAAGGTGGACCCCAGAACCTGAGATGACCTTCTCCACTGCAGACGCTGTGCACGTGGGAGGAGTCATCTTAGGGCTGGAGTCTGTCCCTGAAGGGAGGATGGGGAGGAGAGTGGCAGCAGGGCCGCCTAGAAGGTCTGGGCAAGGCTCTCTCCACGCGTAGAATGCCCTCTTCCTCCCTCACCCTATGCAAATCCTGGCCATATTCCAGGCTGGGTTAATACCTTTTTTTTGACACGTTCCTGAATCTTCAAGTGCCCTCTTCTTAGAACTTCTATGGTGATGCTTGCGTGTTTATATAACTGGACATATTTCCTCCCTGCCGAAGTGTTGGCAAGTAATCCCTCTCAATTTCTGGAACTTACCAAAGACATGCTGTACTCAAGGCGCTTGTTCCTCTTGTCCTGGAGGAAGAAGCTCAGGGAGATGAGGGACACAGCCAGGAGGGAGTATTTCCACAGCGTCATGGTGCTGGGCCTGGCACTCGGCAGGAAGTGAGCAGGAGTTGGATCCTGAGTGAGAGAAGCCAGGCATGTTCTCCTGTTGCCTGCAGCCTCTCCTCCCTTCCCCCACCCTTCCTCCTGGACACCTCTGCCAATTTACTTCCTAAATCTTTTCCACCCACTTCGCCCCCCCCCCCCGCCCCCCATGTAGCCATCTAAGGAGAGACAAAGGTCATGGAGTTTGGTTCTGTTCAGCTGCTGCCTTCTTCAGCTCCTGTCTGGGTTTCCAGGTAGAACTGGAGCACATTGGTTTAGCCACTTGGAGTAGAGGCCCCACCAGAGGGGATGTGTTGCCAGAAATCAAGGGTTAGGTGTTAGCTCCCTAAACTCAAACTTGAGTTAAAGTCTCCACTGGGGGTTATTTCAGACAGATTACGAGGTTTTGAATCAAGTCAGAAGGATCAAGGGAAACTCTTGCGTGTCTCCCCGACCCTGGACTGGTAGGAAGGATGGAAACCGAGAAGTGGCTGGATATTTCTAATCCTGTGGAAGTCTTGACCAGGTTTGCAGAGCCACAGCGATGGGAGGCTTTGTGTCTAACAGAAAATGTGGCTTGATAAACCAGCAGAGAGCAGGGATTTCTCTGAAATCACAGAGAAAAAAACTTCACCAATGCAGTCTTCACCTTCAGTGCTGCAGGGTGGGAGCCCAGAGTGGCTCCTCTGAGGCAGCAGAAACTAGTCACCATCCCAGGAGACCCTCCCTGACAACCATTGTTCACCCTGAATGGGGACTGCTCACATCAAGCACCTGTTTCTGGATATGGTGGGAATAAGGGTTTAAAGCCAGCTTTCCAGAAGCTGAAAATTAACTGTCAGCTTGAATCAAATCGACAAGGGTGGATATTGAGTGATCGCTTCCCTATTAGAGGGCCCCATATGGCTCCTGGAGGAACCATCCATGTTACAGGATATCCAGTTATAGGGCATGTGCCCTGACTGGGAATCGAACTGGTGACCTCCTTAAATGTCTGGGTGTTTCCCTCTCCCCAGCTTACAGTTACCCAAGTACATATCTGTAAGGCGCTGTGGTGGTGGTGGTAGGGTGTCTGGGGAATCTTACAGGATTTGTGTCTCAGGGACCTTCCTTCTAGGGACCTGCCCACCTCTTCCATCAGTGCACATGGACCTGAAAAGTGGCTGAGATCCAGAACCAGGCAAGGGATTGACTTATTGGGGTGACTGTCCTCAACCTCCTGCCCCTCCATTTTTGCCTTTTGTGGTTGTTGTCTCCCTACCTACTTTACCCACAGTGATGATGTTCTGTTATCCTATTTTGGCCTCTATTTCCACAGCTACCTGAGTATCATGAAGAAGCCAGTCCCAAATCCCCACCTTGCTGTCCATTTCCCCAGGATACTCTCAGCACCCCTGTGTCAGTTCACACCTGCCAAACTGCTGACAGGAACATGGGATTATACATCCCAGAGCTTCATTAGTGGAGGGGAGGAGGCAGGGAGAGGCTTCAGATTGTCATCAAGGTCTGACAAGGGTGGGAGGTGATGAAGGAAGTCTTGGCCAGGAAGCCCCGGACTGCAGTGTGGTTCTGGGAGTTTCAACAGGCTGAGGTCACCTGTCAGAGGCACCCTCCATCTTGCCAGAATGGGCTCTCCACCAGGGGGACCATTCTGTGGAGAGCGTGGCCTTGCCACCAACACTGTGGTAGATCCTGTGGCTGCCTGATGCTCAGAGCTGCTCCCTCCTACCCTTATTTGTCCCCCATCCTCTCCTTGTTTCTGTCCCACATCCTGTTTCCAGGCTCTCCGGCTCCTGCATCTACTTGGGTTACAGCTCATTGGGATACACTGGCTGGCTTTTGATTTGGGTTTTTCCCAAATATCCCTCTTAGAGTTCTCCTTTTCTCCTCTCCCTGCTTTCATGGATTATAGTCAAGCTAGTGGAAACCAGACACTGCACATTAGCTGAGCTCAGGGCTCAGATTTTTCTGGAAATAAAGATCTCATAGCCAAACTGAACTAAAAAAAGTTAGTAACAGATCCAAAGGTTTTCCTATCAGAAACCTATGTCACCTTATAGTCCCAGAGATAAGACTGCTGGACAGGAGCTATCACAGATCAGAACAAGTGATTTTCAGTCATTTGGAGGCTATTTGAAAAGGAATACCGGACATGCTGGGTTACCATGGAGAAGAGGACTCTGCCTGACCATAAGGGGTCAGTAGTGTGCATCGAATGACCACCTTCAATGGGACATGAGACCACAGAGCACACAGTCGTGTTTCTTTCCTGCCACACAGGAAGTCCCGCCTTTAATGAGTCCATTTCTACTGGTGGAGAGACCCCGTCCCGTCGTGCGATATGAGCATCACTCAGTCCTACCCACGTGCTCCTCCTGTTCCTGCGAGTCTGGTGTTCCTGCTCCAAGGGAAGAATTCCGAATGGTAGACCTTCTGGTGAGTAAACCAGGAAGGCATTCAACAAGCCCACCTCGTCCACCAGTGGTTCTGGGACCAAGAGCACGTGACCTTCACTCTGCCTTTCAACACGCATCTCTTCTGAACGAACAATCCTGAAGGACCCAAGTGCAACATTTTAATCTTTTGTTTGTTTATCCTCTGTAGACTCTAACCTCCAATCTGACCACTCCCACAACTCCTGGTGGCTTCTCCATTTATCACTTAAACCTCACTTGGTCCAGAGGTGGATGTGCCTGACCACTATTCCAGAGGGAGCAGCGGCTGTCACAAGCAGCCTCACACATTTCACCTTCTTCCCAGACGTAGGAGACAACACCTGCTTGTTCAGGACGCCATTTACCAGCAGCCCCAGCAGAGTGTAGTCGTCACAGTCACTGACCCTGTTTGTAGAGTCACAGCCCAGTTCTACTTGTCCCTCTTCCAGCTGATTCCAGCCTCTCGGGTCAGAGCCCGTCAGCACCTGAACTCGGGACACGTGGGCAGGTACATCCAAAACCACAGTCAGATGGCTGCCAGGCTCAGCCGACTTGGTGTAAAAGAAATTCTCATCCAGGCTGTAGGCGTGTGAGGGAGCAGAGTCATTGGCAACCTTCAGGCTTGTGTGGATGGAGGCAGCAGGGTTGCTGGGAGAGCCAGTGTCCTCTTCCTCAAAGGAGGAGGAGTTGCCCACTTGCTGGAAGAGGGAGGGCAGGAACCTGATTGGTGTGTGCTGCAGCAGGTTCTGAAAATGGGAGAGGAGGCAGTCCCAGGGCATTTCTCGGTAGAAAAGGAGAAGGAAGTGAACCAAGCGGGGCAAGTCTCCAGCACGGAAGAGTTTCCCGGTGAGGCCCAGCGGGGAGAACTCCAGGGTCACCCAGGGTCTGTTTGCCCAGGCTGACACTGCAGTGGCTATCTGCGTGACGAATCCGGGGGCACATTTCACATCATCTTCGACCACCAGGAAATAGTCAGAGTGCTGGGTGGCAAAGTTCATGAGGAAGGCATAGTCCATGTTTTGCCTGGAGTGGAAGGCTGCGTGGACAGGAGGGTCATTAAAGGTCACTTTAAGATCCTTCAAAGGAAGATAGCTTGTGAGAGGAGTAGTGATCACCACCAGCTCTCTGGCCTGTATGTGTGGTTGAAACATGGCTGAGAGGTTGTAGATCATCTGAACAAGCCATTTGGGGTCAGGACCTGCTAGGTGTACCAGAACGGTGAAGTGTTTCCGCTCGGATGAGGAGGAAGCAAAGAAGAGAGACTGCAGGGTGTCCACGAGGTGGCTCCCTTCAGGACGCTGCCCGGAGGAAATCCCTATGGTCAGCAGTTCTAGGGTTGGGGAGAAGAGAGGACCTTTGTCAACTTACAGAAGTGAGAAACATAGTTGTTATGGGTGAGGTTATAATACTCGCAGGTCTTTCCATACACCAACTTAATGTCTTTCTGTGGTTATTGTACATTTTCTCCCCCAAGCCTAAGCATGGACGATGTTAGGAGTTAATAATCTGGTCACAAGTTGTGAGTTAAAAAAAAAAAAATCATTACCTTTTGTCAGGGCCAGCCTGACAGGGTTGAGCCGGGCTGAGGCAGGGAGGTGGGAATTGAGAAAAGAAAGAAAGACAGGAAAGCGGGATCGGGAGGACCCCAGTTCTCTTGATGAACTGAAGCAACTTTATTAGCCACACAATACTATTTATACATAATACACTGAATAGGAGGTCTATCGAGAGGAATGTATTCTTTGTTCCTCTTAATCTCTAAGCGAAGGACACAGCAGAAGGACAAGTTCTCAGTACAGTATATCTCAGTAAATAATTACAGACTTCTTGGTAAGCTATGAAAGGCTCTACAAATGTTGCTCTTATTCTACTGATAAACGCCATCCAAACAAGTCTGGGAAAACTGTGTGGGTAAGCATGGACGATGTTAGGAGTTAATAATCTGGTCACAAGTTGTGAGTTAAAAAAAAAAATCATTACCTTTGAGAAACTATTGTTGGAGAAATAAAAGATGATAAACTAAAGACATTTGCATTTATGTCTCCTCAATCAGAGTCCCACTGAAAAACCAGAAAGCTTGCCCTAAGAACCGTAATATTTGCAGAATTCTTAGAAGACAGAGAATATGGAACGGGGGTGGTGAAAAAGTCTAAGTAGAAGAATTCATAGTTCAGAAGACACACAGAGAAAACAAATGCAGAGATTTAGTTTCATACTGAAAGCCTCAGAGGAATTCTAAGTTCGAGCCACCAAACGACAGGTATGAGCCCTGGGATGGTCACCTGGATTATCAGTCACAGGACTGTTTCCAGAACCACTGGACCACTGACCACTAAGGGGCTGGCTGTGGCCACATCCATCGCAGGCGAAAGTGCTACGATTTTCTAAGTAAAGTGGAAGGTCTGCCCGGGGAGAGCCTATGGGTGAGTCCTGGGCTGGCGGGAACCCCGGGACTGGAGCAGGAACTCCAGGCAGCAGCAGGAGGAGAGGGCAGAGCTGACGTGGCTTTTACCTCTAGGATAAAGCCCTGGGTGTGGCTCCCTGAAGATGACATTGAGACGTGGAGAGGCATCTGTATAAACTCATGAATTTCATGTTTCAAACGATGGAAATTTGATCCTATTGAGGCTCAAATTGTCCTATCTTTGCAAACAGCCTTGTGAAGTTGGATCCTGAGTCTTTTTGATACAACTTTAGTCATTTTTTAAGGCTTCCTTGCTATCTGAGAGGACATTTCCTGCCTTGGACCTGGAATCAGCCTGGTTATTTTTAGTGGAAAACAGTATTTATGTAACAAACACTCATTTATAGGCCACTGGATAGAGCCAAAATATATAGTTCTAAAAAGATAAAATACCATCATGCATTCATACTACTTCATAGTGCATTTAATTAAAAAAGTACAGCATCATAGCCAGTGAGGTTTATAGAAAGTGGGATTATTGCTAACTGAATAATAAAAAGCATTACTTTTAAAGAAAAAAGTTTTTCTTTACTCAGCATTCTTGTGTTATTGTTTTTTTTTTAATTTATTGATTTGAGAGAGAGGGAGGGAGGGAGAGAGAGAAACACTGATTTGTTGTTCCACTCATCCATGCATTCATTGGTTATTTCTTGTATGTGCTCTGACCGGGGATCGAACCTTTAACCTTCGAATATTGGGATGACACTCTAATGGGCCTGGGATACCCAGCCAGGGCAGAGTTCTTGTATAATTAAGGCCAACACTCTTCAGCCCCCTTGAACGTAACTGTATTTTATTAACATAATAGCTTAGTCTTGCCCTTTGAATTCTTAGATGGTTTGAGTCATAAAAAGCTTATTCTGTGTTAAGGTTTATTTTTTCTCATCAATGTAACTTATGAGGATCCAATGAGTGTCATAGTTGGACCTCAGGAGGGTGCAGTCCCAAAGGGAAGCTTACCGAGCAGGGGGAACGACAAAGTCCAACTGAGCTGACAGATTAGAGGCCACATATTGTCTAGACACAGATCTTGGCAACAGCTGCCAGCATGGTTACCGTGGGGGTTAAAGGACACTGCAGGGGTCAGTGGGGACCACAGACAGACCTAGCCGGAGCTGTATTTTTAGAGTAATCGGCCTATAGATGGCACTTAAAGCTGTGAGACTGGGTGAGGTCACCAAGGCAGTCCAGACAAGGACTGAGCTCTGGGCACATCAACATTTAGATGCTGGAGAGAAGATAAACCAGCAGAAGACACTGAGGGTCTATGAGTGAGGCTGGAGGAAAACCAGAGCTTGGGGTCCTGGAAGCAACTGGAGAGAGTGTTGACAGGAGAGTGGTCTACTGTGTCAGATGTTACAGGTCCCTGCTGTCCACCCGCCTGTCCTGCCCCTTCACGGTCTGGACCCCTTGTGCACACTCACTTTTTTTCCTAGGAGGGGCTCCAATCAAGATATAGGAATTCACGTTTTTGAATGGTTCTGAGTTTTTCTGCATATCTTTGAAGGTTTGCAGGTGGCGTGTTCGACCAGGGTTAAGCTGCATCCGGGCTCTCTGCCAAGCCACCAGCTCCTTTTCCTCCTGAGAAGAGAGTAAGTTGCAGCTCTGAGCCCTCCCTTTGAGAATAATGGCTGGGTGGGTTCTGCTTTGCATCACATAATAAAACATCTCCAGGACACAGGGCAGGTTGCTCAGGGCTCAGTCAGTTTCATCCTTATCTTCTGAAAAAGTTCTACCCGGGGATTCTTGTACAGGTTATGGGTCCTGGGGTGAAGGGAGTCCGGGGTTACATGTAGGGAATGAGATGGTATCAGTCCATTCTTCCCCCACAGTCATCTCTCTGACTAGTCTGATGTGGGTCACTTAATCCCATGAAGGGCGAAGCATGTGCTAGGCATGAGAGGAGACACAGTGATGCCACTGCAATGCCCCAGTCTAAACTCTTCACCCTCCAAGTTCATTCTCCCCTCCTTTCTTTTCTTTTTTGCCTTTTCTGGGTTCTGGTGAAATTTCTCATCCCCTTACAGTTTTTCTTGGCTTAGAAAAATGACAAATTCTCTGAGGTTCAGGGTCCTATGGGATAAAATGGGGATAAAATGTGTAACTTTGAAACCATAGGAAAGAAGTGTGCTTTCTTCCAACCCTGAGTTCTTTCTCCAGAGTGCCACCTCCTTTATTGCCCCATCAAAGAAAAATACGTTGAGTCCTAGGCTTTATTCTCTTTCTTCTCTGAGTGTCTATAATGTTAGTGACAGTTGCACACAAATGGACACTTAGATAGTGTCTCCTTTTTCTCAGTCCAGGGACTTCACCTTTGCCCGACCCACAGCTTCTGGTACTCACCAAGGACAGGAAACTTGTAGTGTCCAAAGGGTTTTCTTTAATGAAGAAGAAGATGGAGAGCAGTGCTGCTGCAGCAGAGACGAGCAGGCACAGGGCATCTCTCATGGTGCCGGGTGGGGAGGACCTACAGCAGCTTCCTCATCTGTGACCGGGGTTATACTCAGATGTCTGCCTTTACACTGTCGAGAAAAGTTACCATTTGACAGTAATGCGTTTTTATTTTTATTGATTTCAAGAGGAAGGGAGAAGGAGAGGGAGATAGAAACATCAATGATGAGAATCATTGATTGGCTGCCTCCTACATGCCTCCCACTGGGGACTGAGCCAGCAACCCTGGCAGGTGCCCTTGACTGGAATCGAACCCAGGACCCTTCAGTCCGCAGGCTGACGCTCTAGCCACTGAGCCAAACCGGCTATGGCTGACAGTAATGTGTTTTGTGAATCAAGAAATGATTGTATAAATAATATATAAATATCATTATTTTTTAAAAGACTATTTTTTAGAGAAGTTTTAGGTTCACAGCAAAATTGAAGGAAGGTATAGAGATTTCCCAAATACCCCCTACCCCCACATGCACAGCCTCTGTCATTATCAACACCACTCACCAAACTAGTGCGTTTGTTATAACTGATGAACCTACGTCTACATGTCACCACCACCCAAAGCTCATTGTTTACATTAGGGTTCACTCTCGGTGTGGTACATGCTAAGGGTTTGGACATGACATGTATCCATCATTATAATACATATATTTTCACTGCTCTAAATATCCTCTGAGCTCTGCCTATTCATTCCCCCCACCCCAACCCCATGGAAACCACTCATCTTTTTTTCACTGTCTCCATAGTTTTGCCTTTTCCAGAATGGCATATAGTTGGAATCATACACTATGTAGCTATTTCATACTGGTTTCGTTCACTTAGTCATATACATTCAAGGTACCACCATGTCTTTTCAAGGCTTGATAGCATATTTCTTTTTAGCACTGAGTAATGTTCCATTATGTGGATGCACCACAGTTTCATTTACCCATTCTGCTGACAGATATCTTGGTTTCCTTTAAGTTTGGGCAATTATGAACAAAACTGCTATAAATATTTATGGACAGTTCTTGAATGGACATGTTTTCAACTTTTTAAAAAATATAGAAATAACTTTTAAAAAATGATTTTAGAGAGGGAGATAAAAACATTGATTTGTTCCACTTATTTATGCATTCTTTGGTTGATTCTTTATGTGCCCAGATGGAGAGGGAGAAATCGAGCCACAACCTTGGCGTATCGGGAGGACACTAACCAACTGAGCTCCCCAGCCAGTTTTCAACTTCTTTTCTGTTGATGATTTTACTAAGGACCCTTGTATGTGATGATTCCTCTCTCACTGCTTTTTAGATTCTCTCTGTTTTGAAAGTTTTATTATGTGGCCTGGTGTGGGTCTTTTTAAGTTCATTTTACTTGGAGTTTGTTGAAGTTCTTGGAAATTTATATTCGTCAAATTCAGGAAGATTTCAGCCATTATTCTTCAAATGTTCTCTCTGCCCCCTTCTCTCTTTTCCTCTGGGATTCCCATGATGCATGTGCTGGTCTCTCTCTGCTTGAGTTGGGGCATCCATTTTCTTCTGCGCTCAGACATCAGGTCCCCTGGTTCTCAGGCCTTCAGATTTGGACTGGAAACCACACCAGCAGCTTTCCTGGGCCTCCAACTGATAGACAGCAAACCATGGGACTGGAGACTTGGTTTGCTCATCCTCATAATAAATCTCTCTTGCCTATAGATCCTATTGGTTTCCTCTGGAGAACCTAACAGGCACGTATTAAGGATCTAGGATTGGGACCGAGTCAGAGATCCAGACCATCTCCCTTTCTGAGGCACCTTCCTCCCCAGGGTATCACCTTGACTGGAGCTGGCGTTCCATCTCAGCTTTCCTCTTTCTGGCACACAGGAACTCAACTCCACACTCCTGAGTGTTCAGGACTCCCCCAAAGTTAAGGAGAAGAGAAGGTAATGTCTGGGGAGTGGGGCAGAATATGCATCCTCTGAGGCAAGACAAACTTGGTCACTGCTCTCTCATGACACCCTCCCTGACAACCATTGTGTCCCGCCCACCCACCTCACCCAGCACCGGTCCCCAGGAGGCGCCAGGGAGGGGTGAGGACGTCCTGGGTCAGCTCCCTGCTCCCGGGTTCTGACCGAGATCCAAGGCTCTGGGCTGGAACGGCGTCACATTTCTCTCCCAGTAAAAGGAGTTGTACTGCTATTTCCCCAAGTATAAATACGACACATGTTCCACGTCAAACACCGAGTCAATTACAAAATGAAAAGGTAAAAACCAAGATCCCGATGGTCAGAAAGACTCTTTGGGTAACATCTGGAGAGGCCACAGCACTGACCGCTGGCGGCAATCTCCCTGCAAAGGGTGCAAACCGCGGAGACCCGCAGGGCCCCGACGGCGCCACCCCGGCGCAGGCCCAGCCCTCGGCGCTGGAGGATGACGTCACCACGACGGGCGCTGATTGGCGTCCAAGGAGGACGTAGCGCCGCTGCGACGCAGAGCCCGGACTGCGTCATCGCGAGAGCGGTCCTGCGGCGCGGGATGGCCACGGAGCCGGGCGGCGCTGTCCGGCGGCTCCCGGAGCCGGCTCTGGGGCCCAGGACATGGCCCGGGGTCCCGGCCCGCTAGGGCGGCCTCGCCCCGACCCGGCCGCCATGCCCAAGCGAGGGAAGCGACTCAAGTTCCGGGCCCACGACGCCTGCTCGGGTCGAGGTGAGCGCGGGGCCGGGCGGGGAAAGGCCGGGCTGGGGGCGGGGGAGGCGGCCGGGCCGGCGGGGGGACGCTGAGGGGAGCAGGCCGCCCCCGCTGAGGGTCACGCTTGTTGCAGTGACCGTGGCGGATTATGCCAACTCGGACCCGGCCGTCGTGAGGTCCGGACGAGTCAAGAAAGCCGTGGCCAATGCTGTTCAGCAGGAAGGTAGGTGCCGGCGGGCGTCTGTTCGTGGGGCTCCGTCCGTGTTTTCCTTGCAGCCCTCGGGCATCTTCGTGAGCGGTGGGCTCTCCGCGGGGTGGCTCCATGGGCTCCCGGGAGGGCGCGGGAGCCGGAGCCTCCGCTGGCGGTTTCCGTACAGAAATGCCCGTGTCCGCCCGCATTACGGACGCCTCTGTGTGCGCCTCCGTAGCTCCCACTGCCGCCTCCTTGCTCAGCCCTTGCCCTGCAGTTCCCCGGTGCCCGCGTGCTAGGCAGGTGGCTTCTAGTGCAAGACCCTTGCAGTATATTCGTTTCCTTCGCCCATGTTCCTCGTACTTTCAAGCTTTGTACTTGCATATCCTTGAGACTTGTGTTTTTAAAAATATATATTTTTATTGATTTCAGAGAGGAAAGGAGAGGGGGAGACAGAGAAACATCAATGATGAGAGAGAATCATGGACCGGCTGCCTCCTGCACGCCCCCCAGTGGAGATGGAGCCGAAACCCGGGCCTGTGCCCCGAGCCCTGAGCGGGAACCATGACCTCCTGGTTCATAGGTCCAAGCTCCACCACTGAGCCACGTGGGCCTGGTGAGACGTGTGTTTTTATGACACCCATAGCCTCCAACCCAAGAACATGATTAAATTGGACTTAGTGCCGCTCAAAACGCTGGTCTCAGAATGTATGCAAATGAGAACAGCATTCCCTTTAGCTTTAGCCCCTGGCCTTTATAGCGGGAGAATAGTGCGCTCTCTCTGTCTTCACCTCTGAGGTTGGCTCTCTTCAGGAGTCAGTTTGCCCATTGCTTTCCAGTTTTTTAAAACATTTAAAATGCTTAATTTTCTTTCTTTTTAGAGCCTCAGCTTTTTCAGCAGACTCTCATGCTGGTTTTTCCTTTTGTCTTCCCCCCTCCTGAATGCCGATCTCCTGCCTCAGCCGTCTGTCTTTCTGGATGGGACTCTGCCTTCTCACTCTTTCCTTCTTTCCTTCTAGTAAAATCTCTCTGCGGCTTGGAAGCCTCTCAGGTTCCCGCGGTGGAAGCTCTCTCCGGGGCGGGGGAGCCCTGCGATGTCCCTGACAGCAGTGACGAGATGGATGCGCAGGAGGAGAGCATCCATGAGAGACCTGTCTCCAGGAAAAAGAAAAGCAGGAGGCACAGAGGTACAGGGCTTGCTCTCTTTTGGTTCATTCGTCCCGTGTGTGGTGACAGCAAGTAGAGAATCCGAGTGTGGATCTCAGGAGTGGGACAGGGTTTAACATGCCATGAAGCTTTGCTTTACTGATTCCATTTTGACATTTTGAAATTTCTTAATAATTATGTTTAAAATACAGTTCTTTAATCATTATTGAATTTTGACCCTAAAGACAAATTTTTAATAGCACTGCTTCATAAAAGTTCTGATGGGTCTCAGTGGGGGAAATGCTGGTGCCCTCTCTTTCAGAGAGCGATGTAATGTGATGTAAGGTGGGGCCCAAACACGATAGACCAGGCTTTAAGTGATTTCAAGAAAGGATAGGAACCAAAAAAGAGGATGTTGCTTTAGAGGCCTTGGTCTCTGATATGAGGAACTCAACGCAAGAACCTGAGTGAGTCAACGAACTGCTGGGAGCAATTACCTAGAAAAGCAGAGGCAGCAGTGGGGAGGTGGTGTAGAGGCCTTTTGCCCTGGAAAGAGGAGGAAGAAATCTGGTTTTTGGATAGTTCTATGATAGGTCTGAGCTAAAGGTTAAAGGTTAGCTTTAGGATTAGCCCAGAATTGAATGATTTAATGTATGCAACATTACTTTGAAAACTTCAAAATAGCATATAAATAATTATTAAATGAAAGCCTTAAAAACAAGACCTATTCACTGGGGCAACAGGAAGCAAAAGTTTCCAGCAGCTGGAATAAGCAGGAAATGATGAGTTTGAGAGGCTTCTTGGACCTTTTAAACCTTTTTCTTAGCTGTGCAAGACCTGGGAGGATCTAAGTGATTGGGGATTTTTAGATATGTGTGTAATAGAAGTTCAGAGTTTATGGAAGATGATTTAACTATGGGTGGTGGGCACACAGTGCAATATACAGGCCATGTATCCTAGAAATGTACCCTTAAAACCTAGAAGACCCCATGTTTTTTGTAAAAAGGAAAGGTCAGAGATGATAGTTCTTTTCTTCTGTTTCAGAAGACCTGGATGGGGCTGGAGGTGAAGAGTACCCCATGGATATTTGGCTGTTGCTGGCCTCCTACATTCGTCCTGAGGACATTGTGAATTTTTCCCTGATTTGTAAGAATGCCTGGACTGTCACTTGCACTGCCGCCTTTTGGACCAGGTTGTACCGAAGGTGCGGCCACAGGGAGCTCACTGTTGTCTGTGTAGCTGATTTCATGCTGTTTGTGATGTGAAACTGCTCCTGGGATGGTGACCTTTGCACTTTCTCTACTCCAGGCCTGGTGTGAGCCTGGCTTTGGGTTCCTTGAGATCCTCATTTAAAATTTATATTATTAATTCATCGAGGCAGCTGTCTTCCCTGTGGTTGTCCCCTCCCCTGATCCCATATCCGTTTGCAAACTGTTGCTTCACGTTTCAGAAGAATTGTCTTTGATTTTTCCTCAGGGGGTTGTCTTAGCTGGAATTTTCAAAAGCTTCAGATGCCCACCTGTTTGTCTTTCTAACTAGATTAGTTTCTTATATTTGTTGGTCGTCTTGAAGTACCATATAGTTTTGTTCTTATGCTGCCCTACATACCCTTGTAGGGGTGAGGAGAGGGTGAACAGTGTGGCTAGTAAAAGGGTAGTTCTTGATACTGGGTGCAGAAGTGTAGTGAGGTTAGGAACTGTCAGTGAGAATGTGGTGGGAAGGAAGTAGAGAACTTGGTGTCCCTTCTGGACAGGGTCTGAAGTATCTGGTACTCCTAGCAAAGCTAAGACTTTCCCTTTCTTAGGGTGAAATAAGGATAATTAGAAATTTTAAAAAGGATGGAGAAGATAAGATTATAAGGTATGTGTAAATTGAGTTTCACATAGCAAAGAAGCAAAAGTAGCTGAGAAGTGAAGAGATGGTGATGTGTGTGTGTATGAGAGCGAAGTCAGACTGAGACCAGGAGTCATAGGAGCCTGACCTGGAGCAGGAGAGACAGGCCACACGTTGGTAGGAGTCATGTGTCGTGTTTCAGGCACTACACGCTGGATGCCTCTCTGCCTTTGCGCCTGCGCCCAGAGTCCATGGAGAAGCTGCGCTGCCTCCGGGCGTGTGTGATCCGATCTCTGTACCATATGTATGAGCCCTTCGCTGCTCGAATCTCCAAAAATCCAGCCATTCCAGAAAGCACGCCCAGCACATTAAAGAATTCCAAAGTAAGTGAGAATCAGCGTGGGGTTCTTGTGTGGTAGGCCTGTTCGTGTGGCTTGTCTCCAGCTTCCTTGGTGGGGAGGCTAGGCCTCCGGGTCCCAGGCTGCTAGGGGACGAACGTAAACTTCCAGGGCTCAGGGTCTTCACGTCTCCAAGACGTCCCTCCTCTGCCGGCCTGGCTTCCTGAGGCTTTTGTCATACTCGTTATTCTCTTTATCTTATTTTCATGCATTATTTTCATGTTAGATGGTTTTATGGTTTGGGTTAGGAAGACACAACTCACATGGTAGGTCTCAACTGTAATTCTTCAGTGTTTTAAATCATGATGCAGAGGTAGAACACGAACGGCTTACTAGTTTTCTCTTTCTGTTGGGACATTGACATCTGGATTTCCCTTCTTGTTGACCTCCTTTAGGGTCCTGGTGTAGGCCTTGCTCCCTGAGCGTCTGCTGGCATTCTGATTTGTACGTAGGTGTGTTAGCCTTGGTCCGTTCTCTTCCTTTTCTCCTTCATAAACACACCTTTGTCCGGCAGAGCTTGTATGGCAGATATTATGATTCAGGCCAGTTGATGGTCTCCACGCCCACCCCCCAAACTAATATTGTCTAAGTTTTGTATCTTTTGATCCTGTAGTAATTTTTATTCTCAGCCTACACAAAATCTGGTGTTCTATAGCACTTCCTACTCTTTTGTATCTTGTTTTTATGCTTTGGATGGTACAATGATTTTTCCCCCCTAGTGTAGCCCCAGTGTGATCATATTCTACCGTATACATATTGATTAAAAGGTGCTGCTGATTTCA